TATTTTTTTTTTTTTTTGCAGTAAAAAAAATACATATGGTCTGTTAAATAAAAACATTGAACTCTCTGTGGAGCAGTTTTAATAATTAATATTACTAGGATCTACCCAGATTATATACTAACGGATCGATTACCTGTACTATATATATATATGCGTTTGGTGTAATGGCTTTCTGCTCGGAATGAGTAATCGGGCAGTCAAAAACGAAGATCTGAATTTAAGTTTTGCACTTGCATTTGAACAGGTTAACTTAGATCACGCTTGCAAACACAAAAGATGAGAATACCCCCCCACACACACAGACATATGGTACAAATGCCTCTTAAGAAATTGTGTTCCTGATCAAACCAAACTCATAAATAATTACATAGGTCACACAACTACATGCCTACCCAGACGGCTTACATTACACCAATCCAACCACAGATCCATTAGGACTCATTTAATCACACACACACACACACACACACACACACACACACACACACACACACACACACACACACACACACCTACGATACTCCATCCGAAATATACTAGCAGAAAATACAAGCATAATAACCTTATCCACATGTAAAAAAAAAAAAAATAATGGAAGCTCTAATAATAAAAAAAGAAAAAGGAAACACTCAATAACAACAACTACGAACACGACCACAATGTGTTGACGGTGTTTGGGAAATGAAGCATCCCTTTAACTCTAGATGCATACGCACAACCGATACATCCAGTTAAAAAGTAAAAATAAAATCATCCTTGATAATGGCTAAAAGTATAGCCGAAAGCGCTCGGGATTATAGAACATTTGGACAGTTTCTACACACTTTGTGCCCCAGAAAGAAAGCGAGCACAAGAAAAATTAAATAAAAAGCATAATCGCAGTACCTTGTCTGTCGTCTTTAATGAAACAAACACACACACACACACACATATAAAATTAACATGACAAGAGTCAAGTCAATGCTTGGATATTTTTTTAAAAAGCGCTTAACACATAATTAAGAAAAAATGAATTTGTAGTGCCGGTAAATAAAATATAAGATTAGGAAAAATCCATGCGCAACACCACTACCCGCGTTTCGAGTTTAAAGATTAAGTTAAGATCAAATGTGGGTCAAATATGGATTGGAATACGACAAGATGATGAGATAAAGAACAAATAAGAAACGTTTATCAAGCTAACATGTTTCACTTTTATTAAAGCTTCGTCAGAGATTGAGAGAAAACAGACATGTGTGTGGGTGTGTCCTGACGGTTGCGTTTAAGCATATAGTAGACTGTTACCGCTGGGTGTGAACTTCAATGTACACTTTTATTTTCATATATATATATATATATATATATATATGTGTGTGTTTGTGAGCGTCTGTGTGTTCGTGTGTGTATTGATTCAATGAAGTATATTCAATGAAATCTATACAGAAACAGATACATATGTAGATAATAGATTCATGAATATATTTATAAAATGTATATTTATATATAGACGTATGTATTTGCATACATATGAAGTTTATAATATCCATACATATATAAAAAATGCGTCTAATATATATATATATATATATATATATATATATATATATATATATATATATATATATATATATATATATATATATATATATATATATATATATATATATATATATATATATACTTTTAAAAATCAGGAAATCAATTGAATCCGCTACCTTGGTTTCAACCTTACGGTATCTAGTGTTATCAGAGGCTTAGACTGTTTCATGCTAAAATGCAATCGTCGATGGCCTGATGATTGCGTCTAGCATGAAACAGTCTGTTTACTTCAATGTTCACTTTTATGTTTACATACGCTCTATCTCTATTTCCCATAAATATAGCATACCTTAAAACTATATTTCTTCTCACACATACACAGACACCCACCCACAGACACACACACACATGTATATATAAATAATATAATATAATATTTCATGGTTATAATTTATTTCATTTGGAATCGTAATCACGATCCAATTCATCAGAACAAAAATTCAAAAAAGAAAATCGGAATTTGTGGGTCTGATGAATTGGATCGTGTTATTCATGATTATAATGTAATAAATATATATATATATATATATATATATATATATATATATATATATATATATATATATATATTCACAAGAGGATAGAATCCAGGTAGAACTCAATGTCCAGGACAGAGTAAGAATATAATATAAAAGGCTCAAATACTAATATTCCATGGTTATAATTTATTATATTGGAATCGTAATCACGATCAATTCACCAGACCTACAAATTCGGATTTCTTTTTGAATTTCTAGGTCTGATGAATTGGATCGTGATTACGATTCCAATGTAATAAATTATAACCATTTGTGTTTGAGCCTTTTATATTCTTACTCTGTCCTGGACATCGAGTTTTACCTAGATTCTATCCTCTGGGAAATATATATATATATATATATATATATATATATATATATATATTATCTATCTATCTATCTATATCATCTATATATATATATATATATATATATATATATATATATATATATATATATAATTATATGTATGTATTTCCCCTTCTTCACCCTACTACTGCATTTTGTTAAATACCCGTGTTTATTCACGTATAAACACAATTTGAGGTATAAAGTAACACTTGTCCTTTTTTTTTAAAACCGGTATCAATTGTACCCCCCGAATAGTGAAAGGCGTCATAAAGTTGGCGATCATAAGCGTGGATACACGTGTCGGCCGAGACCGGCATTGTACGCACGTGTCTCTGTGGAAGGTTTCCGACTCTGAGAGAGCGTTATGATGCGGGCAAGAGAGCTTACACACAACAACAACAATGATGATGATGATGGTGATGATGATGATGATGATAATAATCATCATCATAATACTGATAATCATAATAATTAGTGATATCATTGCGTCTCCTTCTTCATACAACCCAAAATCACTCCCACGAACTCTGAAACTAATACAGCGGCCGCTAGAATGCGTAAAGAAATATGGCCGATTTTATTTTATTTTTTTTTATTTATTATTTAATTTAAAACAATTTTTTGTTCGATCCATTGCAGATAACGGAGATATTCAGTTATTTATTTGAATTAAATTTAGAGAGTTAAAAGCTATTTTTAATTGTTTTTATTCCTGTTTTATTCTGTATCATTTCCGTTTTTTTTTTTTTTTTTTTTTTTTTTCTACTGAGGGAAAGGGATAATTTCATATGGAGAGATGCAGTCGTTTTTCGTTACCACCGGACTATTTTCTTACTCCGGCGTACAACGGTAGAAGTGAAAAGGCGATGAGTGATCAAGGCCGAAGGGAATTGAATCCAGACTCCGCCCAACAATCAGAAAATTTATTATTAGAAAAATTGGCGGCTGATGAGCAGATATTTCTTCATGAAGATTAGAATCAGTAATAAATGAAAATTGACTTGGAAAATAATTAACTTTATTTGATTTGTTTCTTTTCTAGTATTTTTTCTTTTCTTTTTTTTCTTTTCTTTTTTTTTTTTTTTCTTTTTTTTTTTTTTTTTTTTTTTTTTTTCTTTTTACTCTGTTCCAGTTTTAACGTTTTCTTCCTTTTTTTTTTCCGTAAGGTCTTTCTTCTTTTTTTCTTTCTTCATTTAAATCTTTGTAAGGGAACCCGCTTTTTATAACGTTTTATTTGATCTTTTCTCCCCCTCTTTTTTCTTACTCAAATCTGTCTTTATGAGGTTTTCTTCTTTTTTTCTTTCATTTGCTTCGTTATGTCATTCATTTAGTCTTCCTTTCGTTATCCCATTAAAGCCTTCTTCGTTTTTCTTTCTTTAACGATATTTTTTCCTCTCTCTATTTTTTAAAAATCGTTTTTATAACATTTTTTTTTTTTTTTTTTTCAATTCTTTGTATAATTTTTTTCGTTCTTTTCGATTCTTTGCATAACGTTTTCTTTCTTTCTTTATCGATTCTTTGATTTTTTTCTTTCTTTCTCGATTCTTGGTATAACGCTTTCGTACTTTCGTTTTACAATGTTTTATTTTTCTTTTCTTTCTTCATTATTCTCAAATTTGCTTCTTGAAAAATATCTTTTTTTTTTCTTAGATATTTTTCAAATCCATTGTTTTTTCTCTTTCTTTTTTAAATATTGGTATAATGATTTCTTACATCTTTTCTTTCCGTCTTTCTTTCTCTCTCTCTCTCTTTCTTTCTTTCCTTTTTCTTTCTTTCTTTCTTTCTTCTTTTTTCTTTCTTGAATCTTTGTATGATTCTCTTTTTCTTTTTCTTTCTTTCTTTCTTAGATCGTTTTATAACCCTTTTTCTTCTCTTTTCTTTCTTAATTCTACGTATTATGGTTTCTTTCTTCCTTTTTTCTTTCTCTCTTTCTTGAATCTTTGTATAATGCTTTCTTTCTTTCATTCTTTCTTTCATTCTTGGATCTTTGTATAATGCTTTCTTTCTTTCTTTCTTTCTTTCTTTCTTAGATCGTTTTATAACGCTTTTTCTTCTCTTTTCTTTTTTAATTCTGCATATTATGGTTTCTTTCTTTCTTTCTTTCTTTCTTTCTTTCTTTCTTTCTTTCTTTCTTTCTTTACCCGGCCCTATGAATAACATAGCGTTCTATTATTCTTACTTCTTTGACCCGTTCAATAAGTGCCATTCATTTTTTCATTGGTAGTTATTAAAATGTTACCATTTCCGATTAAAATCTCAACAGATGGGCAATGAATGCGCCAAACGCACACAAATAAGGGAACATTTTTGTTTCAATTTGCGAGAAAGTGAAGTTTGACATATTGGGTGAGCTAAAACGAACAGGAAAAGATGAGAGAAATATTGCAGAAATTGCAGTGTGAATTCAAAAACAGAAGCAAGTAGATTGAAAAGAAAAAAGGGACTTTTATATATATATATATATATATATATATATATATATATATATATATATATATATATATATATATATATGGTAGGTGACACTGGATATCTATCTATCTATCTATCTATCTATCTATCTATCTATCTATCTATCTATCTATCTATCTCAGTCTGTACATTGTCTGTCTGTTTATCTGTCTGTCTATCTATCTATTTATCTATCTATCTATCTATCTAAAGATACATGTCTGTCTGTTTTGTCTGTCATACACACATAAATAACATATCTACACGTTCATACACACATAAATAAATACACACACGCACATATATGTATGTGCAACCGCTTAAAAAGTTCGTAGCCTGATTAGGAAATAATCTGATAGGGCTGGGAACCTTTCAGTACTTCCTCGGACACACACGCACGCAGATAGATAGATAGATAGATAGATAGATAGATAGATAGATAGATAGATAGATAGATAGATAGATCGATGGATGATGTACAGACTGAGATAGATAGATAGATAGATAGATAGATAGATAGATAGATAGATAGACACCATGTAGAGACTGAGATAGATAGATAGATAGATAGATAGATAGATAGATAGATAGATAGATAGATAGATAGATAGATAGACACACCATGTAGAGACTGAGGTAGATAGATAGATAGATAGATCAGGTAGAGACTGAGATAGATAGATAGATAGATACATACATACATACATACATACATACATACATACATAATACATACAAGGATAGATTGACAGACACACCATGTAGAGACTGAGATAGACAGATAGATAGATAGATAGATCGATGGATGATGTAGAGACTGAGATAGATAGATAGATAGATAGATAGATAGATAGATAGATAGATAGATAGATAGATCATGTAGAGACTGAGATAGATAGATCATGTAGAGACTGAGATAGATAGATAGATCATGTAGAGACCGAGACAGATAGATAGATAGATAGATAGATAGATAGATAGATAGATAGACATACCATGTAGAGACTGAGATAGATAGATAGATATATAGATAGATAGATCGGTCGATGATGTAGAGACTAAGATAGATAGATAGATAGATAGATAGATTGATAGATAGATAGATAGATAGATACATACATACAAGGATAGATTGACAGACACACCATGTAGAGACTGAGATAGATAGATCATGTACAGAACTGAGACAGATAGATAGATAGATAGATAGATAGATAGATAGATAGATAGACCATGTAGAGACTGAGATAGATATATATATATATATATAGATAGATAGATCATGTAGAGACTGAGATAGATAGATAGACAGACAGACAGACAGACAGACACACCATGTAGAAACTTAGATTGATAGATAGATAGATAGATAGATAGATAGATAGACAGACACACCATGTAGAAACTTAGATAGATAGATAGATAGATAGATAGATAGATAGATAGATAGATAGACGGTGTTCGTGAATCGTCTAAGCAGTGCAGGTCTTTTTACCTCGAAAATCAATAGTCGAAAATGTTGGATCTGTTTTGTTTTGAACAAGTAGATAAATAGATAATGAAGAGATTTTTTTTCTTTAGGTACCTACAATATCTGTTATTCTTCTGATTAGCGAATATAAATAGGTAGATAGGAATACATGAGGCGACAAAGGAAAACGAAAATCTGCCAAACCAGTCTCATGAAAGATTGATCGTAAGAAAATAAAAAAGTGTTTCGAATGTAAAGAGACACAGGCAATAAGTGAAGAACGGAAATGTCAACAGATAAAAAAAAAAGACATCGTGTCATTAAGAAATAATATAAAAACCATGAATAGCTCAAGAAATATAAGTTGGAGTGTGCGGAAAAGGAAAGCGGCATAAACAGAGTAGTAGTTAGAGGTGGATAAATAAGGAAGTGGGGAAAAGGAGGGGACAGTAGGTAGAAAGTCGAAGAGGGGAAAGTGGAAGGAGAGGCGTAAGCTGTTGCTGTTCGTTGATTGGTCCACTATTTATTTTTTCCTGCCGGCGCTCCTGATTTAAGCTCCGCCCATTTCTCTTTATTTTTTTATTTTATTTTTTAAACTTAGTGGAAAGCTTTTTCTTCCTCATATCTATCTATCTATCTATCTATCTATCTATCGATCTGTTTTGAACAATAAAAAAATTAAAATTTTCACACTGTGTTGTATATAAATACTTTTTTTTGTTTTGTTATTTCAATAAGGTTCCTCAACTAGTTTCGGCCAGCATGGTCATGATCAGGAGAAAAGATTCCTGCATGTTAGTAGCAGTGAACTACAGAAATCCTGCATATATTTGAATAACAAATTTAGTCTGATGAAGTCCTGAAGGACGAAACGCGTCATAAGTAAACTTTTTTCATTTTGTCATACAATTTCACCAATATCTCAATAAATAAATCCGAGAAAAAAAAAATGTATTCGTTACGAGGGGGGAAAAACATTACGCTGACGAAAGAAACCATATAAAAAATATTATTATTATTATTATTATTATTTTTATTTTCTTTGATTTCTGGCGTTTGCACATTTCTTTCCGGGACACTTTCCACTGACAAAAAAAAAAAAAAAATAAAATAAAATAAAATATTACATAGATAAAGTCCTTCGTAAAGTGTCGGCTGTACTTGTCAGAACAATTTTTTGTATCTCCTTGAGGCATGGGCTTCCAGGAATCCCTTCAATTAGTCTACTGCAATCTTTTCCAACAAGTCATAGGGCTCCAACTACAACAGGGATTGTTGATGTTCCCATATGCCACATTTTCGAGATTTCTATTTCAAGGTTATTATTATTATTATTATTATTATTATGGATTTTTTTGATTGATTCGTTTTTTTACGACTTATCAATCCTTTGCAGGTTACTTAAAGCCAGAAAATATTTTAGAATTTTTTTTTTGGCGGGTAGATAACAATTTAGCGATAGAAGTCTTAATAATTAACCCATAGCTGGGGGAGAACAGGGGGCTTAATAACTTTCGCATGTAGATCGTATTCTTAAATGTAGATCCAACACTGAAGTGGCACCTAAAATGTTGTCTCTTTTTTTGTCTCAGTATTTGGTTGAGACGTCGGGCAACTTATGTTACACAAAGCAAAGGTAAGACACTATAATAATAATAAAAATAGTTAGAGACACCCTTAGTCGAATTGTACGTATATATATATGTGTAATCTTGTATATACATTAAATGGCAGAGGCACATGTCAGTAATGCGCTTACGACGAACAGAAAAACAGCTCTATTTGTTATAATATAAGCTATTTTATCGTTGTAATAAAATGTCAATAATAATAATAATAATAATAATAATAATAATAAAATAATAAAAAAGTTGTCAAAGTACAAGGACCTTGAAATAGAAATCTCGAAAATGTGGCATATGGGAACATCAACAATCCCTGTTGTAGTTGGAGCCCTAGGACTGGTTGGAAAAGATTGCAGTAGACTAATTGAAGGGATTCTTTGAAGTCCATGCCTCAAAGAGATACAAAAAATTGTTCTGACAAGTACAGCCCACACTTTACGAAGAGCTTTATCTATGTAAATGTTTTTTTTTCTGGGCAGTAGAAAGTGTCATGATGCCATTTCTAAACTTAGGTCCCTGGGCGGGACACGGAAAGAAATGTAAACGCCAGATATCAAAGAAAATAAAAATAATAATAATATTAATAAGGGTACGGTTACGGAGATAGGACATGTCACAATTCTATGGGATTACACAATACACACTGACAGAACAATCAAAGCCAACCGCCCAGATATTGTTATTAAAGACAACAAACAAAAAAGTGCGTCCTTATTGATATGGCAGTCCCTGCTGACTGCAATGTATCTTTGAAGATATTCAAAAAGTTGTCAAAATACAAGGACCTTGAAATAGAAATCTCAAAAATGTAGCACATGGGAACATCAACAATCCCTGTTGTAGTTGGAGCCCTAGGATTGGTTGAAAAAGATTCCAGTAGACTAATTGAAGGGATTCCTGGAAGTCCATGCCTCAAAGAGATACAAAAAAATTGTTCTGACAAGTACAGCCCACACTTTACGAAGGGCTTTATCTATGTAATATTTTATTTTATTTTTTTTTTTTTTTTTGTCAGTGGAAAGTGTCCCGGAAAAAAAATGTGCAAACGCCAGAAATCAAAGAAAATAATAATAATGATAATAATATTTATTTATGTAAATTTTTTTTTTTTCAGTGGAAAGTGTCATGATAACATTTCTAACCTTAGGTGCCTGGGCGGGACCCGGAAAGAAATGTGTAAACAAAGGAAATATCAAAGGATAATAATAATAATAATAATAATAATAATAATAATAAAACTAGTTCAAAATGGAGTTTCAAATGGATGCAGAAATACAAGTAAAGCACAATACACCGATTGAAGCTGCAAAATACAAAAAAAGAAAGCAAAGACAAATGAAACCGACCAGATACAGAAACAATGGCAAAATAAACCGCTCCACGGCTAATAATCAGCCCGTACCAAACAAGCTGATGTTGACAAACCCCGTACCTATCAGTGGCTAGGTAGTGCAGGGTTAAAAGCTGAAACCAAAGGTTTTATTCTTGCTGCACAGGACCAATGCGTGTTAACTAGAAATTACCTAGCACACATACTGAAAAATTTTGTTAGACCAAAATGCAGATTCTGTGATAAATATCCGGAAACAATTGGTCATCTTGTATCAGGTTGCACGATATTGGCACCCACTAAGTATAAAACCCGGCATGAGAGAGTCGGCCAATATCTGCACTGGAAAATATGTAACTTCTACGGAAAGGAAACTGAAAGAAACTGGTATGAACACCACCCAGGCCCGGTTACAGAGATAGGACCTGTTACAAAATTCTATGGGACTACACAATACACACGCACACACAGAACAATCAAAGCTAATCGCCCAGACATCGTGATCAAAGTCCACAAAAACGGAATGTGTTTTTTTATTAGCATTGCTGTCCTTGGAGATTTTAATGTATCTTTGAAGATCTTGAAAAATTGTATTCACAATTACAGCTCGCACATTGCGAAGAGCTTCATCTATGTAAAATATGTGATTTTTTTTTTTTTTTTTTGACAAAAAATGATCAGTGGAAGATCTCATGAAGCCCTTTCTGACTTTTGGTCTCTGGTTGGGACCCGGAAGAAAATTTGTATACAACAGAAACCCAATGAAATAATAATAATAATAATAATAATGAGTCGATTCTTCAAATCTACAAATCTACCATTCGTCCTTGCATGGAATACTGCTACCAAATATGGCCGGGAGCCTCCGCTGTTCGTCTCGGGGTCCTCGACAAACTCCAGAGACGGATATGCAATGTGATAGGTCCTGATCTGGCATCTCGTCTACATTCACTTTCTCACAGGCGTGCCGTTGCTTCCCTCTGTCTTTTCTACAAGTATTTTCACGGAAACTGCTCTGACGAGCTACTTTCACTGGTTCCCAAACTGCGTGAATTTAAACGTGCTACTGGGTTGGCATTTCGGTCCCACCCTTTCACTGTAAATGTAGCTGCCTCTTCTACTCCAACAGCTTCTTATCTCGCACTTCCCGCCCGTGGAACTTCCTTTCTCTTACTTGCTTTCCTGATAAATATAATCTTCAAATATTCAAATGTAACGTCAATCGACATCTTCTGATGCTTTGATCTTGATCCCCGTCCTTCTCTTTATCCTTTCCTCAAACACCCCCCTCTTTACTCTAACTCCTTGCTTGGGGTGAAATGCTTAAAATAATAATAATAATAGTAACAATGAAAATTTAGGAACATTCTCAGTCGAAGACCGCATGAATGAATAGGGTGAGCCGACCTGAAGTTATTTCTAACTGGGGGTCATAAAAATTTGTCACCATATTACGCATATGTAGTTATGATGCTTGTGTTTTGCATGCCGTCATAATACTGAGAAACATTTTTTTTTAAGCGTTTCACCCCAAGCAAGGCGGGAAGCCATTAGGACGCAAGGGGTTACAGAAAATTTGGAGCAAGATCAGATAGGAGTGATAGAGGAAAGGATGAGGAGAAGGATAGTGGATAGATCAAGGCAACTGGAGAAGTCGATTGACATTACATTTGAATAGCTGGAGATTATAGCTCCCAGGGAAACTGGAATAGGAAGGGAGTTCCACAGGCGAGAGGTGCGAGACATGAAGCTTTATTTTGAGTAGAAGAGACGGCTACATTTAGGAGTTTCTTGACAGTGAAGGGGTGAGAGAGGGGATGCCAGCCTCGTAGGGCGCTTGAACTCATGAAGTCTGGGAACCAGCGAATGCAGCTCCTCGGAGCAATTGCCATGAAATTATTTGTAAAAAAGACAGAGAAAGGCGACGGCGCGCCTGTGAGAGAGCGACTGTAGCCGAGATGCCAGAACAGGGCCAATTATATTGCATATCCGCCTCTGGAGCTTATCAAGAACCCTGAGGCAAACAGAAGGGGCTCCAGACCATAT